TGGGTAAATGAATCCAAACCTGATAAATGTATAAATCTCAAACTATAAAATAAGACAGCCTGTGCATGCAGGATCAGTGTCCAGGACAGAGTAGACTTTATCAGCATCTTTTTTCTACAAGGACATACCAGTGCCAACTCTCAGCCAGCCAGGCAGCAAACAGTCTGTGGCTAGCCAACTCCACAAACAACTGAAGAGAAGATATTTCCTGAGATACTCGCCCTCCTGTAGTCAGTACACCCGGACACATCTGCTTGATTCAAAATTGTGGAATGTTATCACTCACACAAGTAATGACATCCTTTAAATATGGTCCCTGGGAGACCATTGGCTTCTTGTTAAGAACAAAGTTGGACTTGTAACTAACCTCACAGTTTCCCAAGTGGGGCCAATAAACCTAGAGCCCTTCAGTGGTTTACAGCTTAATGCTTAATGCATTCTGAAATCCTAAAAAGCTCAGAATACGGCAAGCTTTGGGGGAACATATCTAGAAGCAAACCAGACTGATCTGAACTCACTTGGCGGGTAAATCTAAACTGGGGGACCCCTGAAGCCATGTGTGGTTTTCGCACATCTTGCCTAACATGAGGTCCGCCTATGTCACTGCAGAAATATTAATGTGCTTGATCTCAGGGTGGTGTGTCGTGTTATGTAATGTGCAATATGGACGCTCAATCATTTTTTCCACGTTGCTGTTTTCTGAAACACATCTGGCCTTGAGATGTCCTCATAAGGGACTCTAAACCTGTGGTGTGTGTGCTGTGGGGCTGAAGGTGCTGGCTTCTTGCTTAAGGGATAAAGTTGATGGTTGCTTTCTTGGTCTGGTGAGTGCACCAGGACTCCTGTCTTGGAGCAGGTCTGTGCCCGACACATCTGTTTAGCTCACCTATATGGGGACATATGTTGAGTAGTTGCTGCTTTGGGGCATCTACTCAAAGATGTGTCTCTATCTTGTTTCTTTCCAGGAGGGTATGACCCTGGAGAAAGGTGACATGAAGCTGAGTGTCTCTGGGCTCCTGTCCTGTTATCTTAGTCTGTTTGGGGCTCTTATGATAGAAGCCCACAGACTGGGTAATTAAACATAAATAAGAAAATTAACTAATTTCCTTCTCACTGTTCTGGAGGATGGGAGTTGCAGGATCAAGGTGTTGGCATCTGAAGAAGTGCTTCTCATGCATCATCCCACGGAGGGAGGCATCATGGAGGGAGCAGGGAGCGCCAGCTCAGGTCTCTCTTTCTTTCCTTAGATGGTACCCTCTTGGGTAATTTAGTTCCTTACTATATTCCACAGAGCTAGCCTGCCTCATAATAGGCTCACTACATGCTTTTCATTGTAAACAAAAATGTGAGAGATAACATGCATGGAATATTATTCATCTATGAAGAAGGAAGTTCTGCCATTTTCAGCGAAATGATGGAACTGGAGGACATTATGTTAAGTGAAATAAACCAGACACAGAAAGGCAAGTACCACATGTTCTCTCTCATGTGTTGTTTGAGTCAGCTTTTTCACTGTGACTAAGAGACCCAACCAGAATGACTTCAGAGGAGGAAGAGTTTGTTTGGGGGCTCATGGTTTCAGAGGTCTCAATCCACAGACAACAGGCTCTGTTCCTCAGGGCTCGAGGTGAGGCACGACATCATGGTCAAAGAGTGTGACAGAGGGATGTTGCTCACATGGTGATCAGGAGAGAGACTCCACTGGCCAGATATAAATATATACCCCAAAGCCACGTCCCCAACTCCCACTTCCTCTAGCCACACCCTATCACTTCAGTTACCACTCAGTTAATCCTTATCAGGGAATTAATCACTGATTGGGTTAAGACTCTCACAACCCAATCTTCTTCCTCTGAACCTTCTTGCATTGTCTCACATATGAGCTTTTGAGGGACACCTTGCATCCAAGCCACAGCATGTGTGAAAGCTAAAAAAAACAAAAAACAAAACAAAACAACAACAACAAAATAACTAAAGTAGAACAGTGATTACTAGTTGGGAAGGTTAGGGGAAATGCAAATTGGTATATGATAGTTATAGGTATGGAAATATTACACTGAACGCTATTAATATGTACAATGACTACAAGTCAATAAAATAAATAAACAAAAAGAAAGTTATGATGAAAATCCTTCTATATTCTATAACCTTCGTACAGATAAATGGTGGGAAATATTTATCCTATATATTTTCTGCTGTAGATTGTCTCTTCACTCTGTTGAAGATTTGCTTTGCTTTTTAGTTTGATGTCATCTCATTTGTGGATTTTTATCCTTGTTTTCTATGCTTTTGAGGTCCTATCCAAAAAATGACTGCCTGGACCAATATATTAAAGTGTTTCCTTTACATTTTCTTCTAGTAGTTTCAGATCTCTCATTTAGGGTTTTGATCCATTTTGAGTGGATTTTTCTGCAGGGTGAGAAGTAGGATCAAATGTGAGTCCTCTGCATGTGGCCGTCTGGCTTCCCCTGCACCATTTATCAGAAAGGCTGCCCTGTGGCCTGCATTTTTTTGGTGCCTCTGTCTAAAATCAGTTGACTGTAGATATGCGGGTTTATTGTGGGGATCTCTATTCTGTTTTGATGGGGATTGCATTGAATCTGTAGGTCATTCCAACAGTATTGACATTTCAACAATATTAGTTCTTTCAATCCATAAACATGGGAACCTGGTATGGGGATATAGCTCAGTTACCAGAGTGCTTGCCTCACATGCACAAATCCCTGGGTTCAATCTCCAGCACAAACAAACAAACAAAAAAATAAAAACATGGAAATCTTTCCATTTTGGGGTCTTCTTCAATTAATTTCATCACTGGTTTGTAAATTGTACTGTAGAGTTCTTTTATTTCCTTGACTAAATTTATTCCTAGGTGGTTTTATTTTTGTAGCTATTGCAAATGGGATTGCTTTTGTGCTTTCTTTCTTAGCAAATTCATTACTGATGTATAGAAAAGCTACTGATTTTTATATGTTGATTTTGTACCCTGTTACTTTACTGAATCTGTTTATCAGTTCTAATAGTCTCTGGTGCAGGTTTTAGGGTTTCTTATCATATCGTCTGCAGTCAGGGATCATTTTACTTCCTCCCTTTCTATTTGTATGCCCTTTATGTCTTTCTCTTGCCTAACTGCTGTGGTTAAAATTTCTAGTACTATATTGAATAAGAGCAGAGAGAGCCGACAGGATTGTCTTGTTCCTGATCTTAGAGGATGTGCTTCCCGCTTTCCCCATTCAATAAGATGTCGACTTTGGGTTTGCCAAAGATGGCCTTTATCATATTGAAATAGGATCATTTGTTCAGAAATTTTAACATAAAGGAATATTGAATTTTATCAAATGCTTTTTTTCCATCTAATTAAGAGGATTCCATGATTTTCATTTTTCATTCTATTGATGCTATTGATTCTATTTCATTCTATTGATGCATTAAGTTCATCGATTTGCATATGTTGAACCATCCTTGCATCCCTGGAGTGCAACCAACTTGATAACAGCATATGATCTTTCTGACATGCTGTTGAATTTTATTTTCTAGTGGTTTGTTGAGAAATTTTTCATCTGTGTTCTTAGGAGATATTGGTCTAGAGCTTTGTTTTATTGTGTTCTTGACTAGTTTTAGTTTGGAACGGTTCTCTCCCTTTCATTCTTAATTTTTCTTTTAAAACACATATTCCTTTTTATAGAGAAGGGATCTGGTCTGTGATCCTGGAATATTTTTTTTAGGGGGTGAAAACACACAGGTTTTATTTTATTTTATTATTTTTAATTGGTTGTTCAAAACATTACAAAGCTCATGACATATCATCTTTCATGCATTTGATTCAAGTGGGTTATGAACTCCCATTTTTACCCCAAATACAAGTTGCAGAATCACATCGGTTACACATCCACATTTTTACATAATGCCATATTAGTGACTGTTGTATTCTGCTACCTTTCCTATCCCCTACTATCCCCCCTCCCCTTCCCTCTCATCTTCCCTCCATTGCTAGAGCACTGAATTCCACAGCTCCTGCCTCTCGCTTCTTGGATTTTTCCCTTCCTATGTCCAGCTTTCCAAACCCTTAACACACAACACCGAGGGCAAAACAGTGTCATGAAGTTAAAAAGAATCTGGGAGAGTCCACGAGGTACACAGACTCGCAGTGCTTCAGAGAACAGGGCCGTATTAAGACCTCGCAGTGCAGGGCTCCCAGTACCTGTCATGCCTGGAGAGACCCACACATCTCTCACCACAGATCTCATCTGGCTCCTTTTGCTTCTCTATTCAGGCTTCTGCAACCTCTCAGCAGGGCTCTGCTGAAATTGGAAAGCCGCCTACTGTGGTCTCCCCTGTTCCTTTTGTCAGGGACCCTTGCCCTTGGACACAAGGTACAACGTGGACATCATCTGTTGGGCATCTGAACTGCTCAATGCTTCACTTCAGGGATGAGGTGGAAATTAGGAGTTTAAGTGCCAGGGTGTGTTTCTGAGGGTGATTTAAATGTCTATGGAACTTGAAACGGTTCCAGAAAACACCAAGAGACCAGTAGAATCAGAATCTTTTCATTAAAATCCACAAGGGCCACAGGAAGGCTATCATTGGCCAGGCTCCCAGGCCACCCAAAGATGGGAGGGGGGACGCAAACCCCGCCCAAACCCCAGGGGGATGGAATTGGCTCCAAGGACTTCTGATCAACCCCAGCGCAGTGGACAGCGGGTCGGGCACTTCAAAGGTGCCTGCACTGCACCTCCAGGCTCCGCGTCTATACTGCAGTCGGGTGAAAAGACGGGAGAATCACTAGAAGAGCCCACAGTCCTTAAGCCAGAGAGAAGGGGCGCAGCGTCTTGGGGCAGAGAGGAATTCGCTCCGCACGAAACTTTGGCGGTCAGAGTCCTGAGTGGGGCGACCTCCCGGAGAGGGCGCAGCAGTCCCCGCACCTCGCTCCTCGCTAGGCGCCACCAGCACCTCTGCAGCGTCAAGGAAGGGTCTCGGGTCAAGGACAAGAATCTGTGGCCATGGCTGAGGCTACCGAGCCAGAGGGTGGCGCTTCGGGTCCCCAGGGGCCGCCCGAGGACCCAGCGCTTCTGGCCGAGCGACCGGGCGAAGCCGGGGCCATAGGACAGGAGGCGAGCGAGGGCGCCGCGGAGGCGCCCGGGGGAGAGGGGGCGGGCGCAGCGGCGACAGCGGCCGACCAGGAGGAAGAAGGCGGCGGGCCGGACCCAGGGTGCACGGGGGAGCTGTCGCCGGGAGCCGGCAGTGGCCCCGGGACCGAGACGCGCGGCCCAGGGGGAGCGCAGACCGAGGCGGAGGAGGGCGAACCGCGGGGCGCAGAAGCTCCCCAGGGAGGGGAGGCGGCGGGCGGCGCCGGGCAGGTGGAGGAGGCGAGCCCCGAGCGCGGCGTGCAGGGCGAGGCTGCAGGGGAGGCTCAGGGGCCGTCCGGGGAGTCTGGGGAGTCCGGGGACCCCGGGATCCCAGCGGCGCAGGAGGAGACGGAGCACGGGCTGGAGGCTCCGGAGGTCACCACAGACGCCCAGGGACTTTCGGGGGACAGCATGGACGCCCAGGGGCTGGCGGGAGGGGCGCTAGAGGCAGACGGTGAGCTCCAGGACCAGGACCGGGAGCAACACAGTCCCCAGTCCCAGTCCGAGACCACTGAGGTCGCTGTCGCGGAAACCGGGGGGCCCAGCCCGGAAGAGTTTGCAGGAGCCATGGGGGAGGTGGGGTCCGAAGAAGCGGTGCCTGGGGACGCGAAGGCAGATGCTGGCGAGGATGGGGACTCGGGTGGGGGCCAGAAGGAGATGGAGGCGGAAGACGAGAGGCGAGATCCGACCCCGAGCGAGGACGCCTCGGCAGTTGGGGGAGAGGAGGAGCCCCCGGACGGCACCCAGGATCGGGAGGTGGCGGAGGAGACGGGGCCCGAGGGGCTCGAGGCCAAGCTCAGCAACCACCTGGAGGAGGAGGGCAGCGCGCAGGGCAGCGACGAGTCGGCGCTCGTGAACGGCCGCCCCGAGAACGACGAGGTGTCGGAGGAGGGGGACCCGGGGCAGGAGCACGACATCACCCTCTTCGTCAAGGTAAATTTCGCTTCCCCAAATTTTTAGGACGTCTTCTCTTGTCTTGGTCCCCTCAGATCCAAGACGGACTCGTGGGGAGGTTCCTTCCTCCCCCATGTCCTAACTGTCACCAGGCGCTTCCACCTCCCCAACTAGGTTTTCAAGAAGAGTTGCAGGAGCATTTGGGGGAGGGCTAGGGCTAGGGCGGTGGGTAGTGCGTATGTGGGGTCAGCATTCCACTATTTTTGTCCTGAAATCCTAACTGGACCCCCTGGTCGGGGAGGTTACTAAAAGAATTAACTGGGGGCGGGGGGGGGGGGGGGCGGACCAAAAGGGACACGCCCTATTGGTGTTCCAAGGATTTTTGCCAAAGCAAACTCTGATCCCTGAAGTGAAACTATGCAAACTGGTAGGTTCAGTGTGAGAAGTAGCCCCAGGACTGATATCCCAAGGCCCAGAGCTGGTGAACAGTTTTAAGTTACAAAAAGCAATTCCGTTTTAAGAACCCGAATGCATTTGGGAGGAAACGGGAAACTTATTTACCTATTATCGTTTTCATTGAACATCTTACCATTTACTTTGAAAGAATGCAAGAGGCTGGTGACTTGACAATCATCTGCGTGTGTGTGTGTGTGTGTGTGTGTGTGTGTGTGAGTGATATTCTATCTCACTTCAGTTGGGAAGAGAGCAGTGATTTAATTTGTGAAGGAGTCTGTAGAGAAAAGATGGAGGAGACAAGAGGAAGGATGTTTTGGGTTTAATAGGTGTTTTTACAAGGTTCCAAAAATACATGGGCAAAGTCCAGTAGCTGCTCACACCAGAAGCTTTGTTTAAAAAAAAAAAAAAAAAGCCATTCTGAAGAACTTTGGCCAGACCCCTGGGAAGCTGGAGATAATAAGATCAAGAATGTGCATTACACGTTGAATTCTAATCCTTTAGAAATACTTTCAGGCTTATAGAAGCCTGTTGTGGCCTAAACTTCCTGGGCTGAAATGTTAATAAGTAAAGGGGTGGTGGTGGTGGGGCTCCCAAAATGATTCATATCAGAATTTCAAGAAGTGTTTAAGTGGCAAATAACTTGGGGAGAAGCAGGCTTGTGTTAATTCTATGGAGAAGGAGCTGTTCCCGGCAGCATTTTTTTTTTTTAAGATACTGGAATAAAACATCTAATTATGTATTGGGGCATAACCCGAGGGCACAAGCCTTAGGAAGGTTGTGGGAAGACTGGGTGTGTGCTGCCGGTTGGTTCAGACCTACTTGGTTTAAGGAACTTTCCATTGCTCTGGTGGCATGGCTGCAGGATTCCAGCAAATGGTCTCGTGTTACAGCTTCTTACCTTTCTCCGTTTCTGTGCAAGTCTCTTCAATCTAGTCCCTTCTAAATCACCAGTGAGCCAGGAAAAACCCAATCATTTTGCTTCTTAGTGTACAATTATTTAGTTGTTTATTGCAGAATTTCAGGTGAACCCATATATATTCTGGAGCCAGGCACAAGCCCTTCATGATGTTAACCCTGCCCCCTTTCTCTCTGGCCTTTCCTGGGTATTGCTGGGGAGTCCCCATCATCATGTCACTCATGGCACTGTGGTGTCATTCTTGGTAAAGTACTTTTTATTCCTTAAGAGAACCACATTCCTTCCCACCTTGAAATGTCGCACACACTGTGCCCTCTGCCTGAAAGGCATCACTACCACTTACCCCTGTCCCTGTCTGCGTCCTAATGGTTGGCTGCATGTCCAGGAGTCAGCGTGGACTTCACCCCTTCTGGGGAGGCTTTTAGAGGGGAGGCTTTTACACCGCAGACTGGGTTGGATGTCCCTCTGTTGACGTTTCACGCACACATGGCACTGTCCTTGTATCTTTTCTGGACTGTGTGAAATGCATCATTATGTCCAGGACAGAATGCAGGTGGGGGCAAGAGGAAAGTCTGAATGGGTGACAGTCTGTATGAGTATAGTATTGTAGTAAAAAACGTGCACTCCAGAGCCTGTGGGGCTGGAATCAAATCCTAGCTCTGCAACTTTCTTACCATGTGACCCTGGGCAAGGAAGGTATTCAGCCCTTCTGTGCCTTTGTTATCTCTTGAGCAAAAACGGGGACAATGATAGGAGCTACCTCCTGTGGTTATTGTGGAGATTCAAGTATAGATTCCATGAAGCCCTTTGAGCTCTGCTTGTCTTGAAATAAGCATGGTGTAGGTTTGGGTGTTTGTTGCTATGTCTGCTCAGCGCCTATATGCTTCCGTTGATTCTGTAGGGAGACTGTCTCCATTTCTTTTTGAAGAGAAATTCCTCTAGGTGCCTAATTATGTCCATTCTCTGGGGGGTAAGAGTGTTGTAAAAAGTGAAAAAAGTTCCTTTTCTCATTGCTGCTCAGGAGTGACTGTAGGCTAAGGCCAGGGCAGCTCAACCTCCATGCAGTACTTGGCCTGGTGTTCTAGTGTCCTTTTTATTTATTATTTTGCTTCAGGGAAGCAAACAGTGAGGCCAGCTAACTTCTGAGGTTCTCTTAAGATGTGCCTCATTTCAGTAAGCCATCTCGGTTTCTTCCCATCCATTCATCATCTCCGTAAAAATAAAGGGGGACGCAGAGGGACAAATGAGACCCCGAAAGCAATGAACAAGCAAAAGACCTTTGGGCTGCCGTATCCTCTGCGTTTGTTTTAGTTTTATTTAAAATACTTAACCTGGCTCAGATACAGATTTCTTTGCCAGATTTAGCCTTTTCTGGGTTCCTTCTTGGGCTCTGTTTGAGGTGGAGTCTGCATTTCACAGTGGACACGTCACCTGGGTTTCGTTAAGTACTCATGGTGGGTAGGGCTCCCCCACTTTGGACCTAAGGATATTTATTTATGTATTTCGACCTTTTTAAACAATTTTAACAATAAGGTTTTAAAAATGTGTATTATCATCATACATAGCATGGGATTTGTTGTAATAGCAGGTTTTCTGCGGTGCAGCTGGAACATAGAATTCACAGAACTGTTCTGTAGGAAGAGTCCTGCAGTATTCTTCCAGACATCCCTCCAGCCTTCATATGAGGGCCTAGGAAACACATTTTAAAATTAATTAAGCCACATTCTATTTGTGAACTCTAACTTTTACTTTTCTTCCTATTCTTAAAAACAAACATATTGGTTACAAAAAGATACCAGATAGAGACCTAGTAACGTGTAATAGTAATTACTATTTTTTAAATATTTATTTTTTTAGTTGTAGTTGGACACAGTACTTTTATTTATTTTTATGTGGTGCTGAGGATCGAACCCAGGGCCTTACACGCACTAGGCGAGCGCTCTACCTCTGAGCCACAACCCCAGCCCCATAATAGTAATTCTAATTGCTTCCAGTTGCCTTCTGATTTTAGCTACCTAATAGATCATATTCCCCAGCTTGATGAAAGTCATCCTGTTGTTAAGCTGCCTTCGTTTTCTTCTGTAAGGCTACAAGGCTGTATTCTTGTAAAAGAGCCAGAACCCATAGAACAGGCCCAGCAAGTCCTCTTGAATGATCCTGTGGCAAATCAATCGTGGATCATGCTGATTTTTAGGTTTTTTTTTCTCCCCTAAAGAAGTGTTAACTGTATCATCCCATTCCAAGGTAACCAACCCCCCAGTCATATTTTGTGAGAGAAGTTTTTTCCTTCTTTACTCACAACAACAAAGGGTAACAACATAGTGGCAACACAACACACCAACAGCAAATAAAACACAAGAGCTGAAGTGGTTGGTGACGTCTGATTCAGCAGGGGCACTTTGAGGCAGGGGCTAGGAGTGGGTGCTCAGAAATATGGGTTTCCTGGCAAATTTTACATGACTTTAAAACGCTCTATGTGACCCCGGGAGTGATCCCGGGCCGCAGCCTAGGAATTTCTTAAACTGTGCTGTGGACAGCCTGTGTTTAACTAGAACAAGTCCCTGAGCTCATGCGCTTGCGTCATTGGGATTCTTCAAAGAGGTGAAACAGACCTGATGGAACAAAATGAAACTCGGGACAGACATGGCCTTCGAGTAAGCATCGACACCCAGAAATGCCAAAAAGAAAAAAGAGGACCTGCCACATTGTCACACCATGGGTCCACAGGCACCCGAGGGACCAGCCGGCTGTGGCTTGCTGCACACATGTCCCTGGGAGAGAGCCAGTGCTGCTTTCCTAACTGTGTGGGTGCCGGGTGTTCTAGAGGAAACGAGTGAGGGTGGGCTTCTGTGCCTTTAATTCTCCCTTCAAACCACTGTTTTGTGGGTTTTTCCTGATTATCATAGAAAACCCATTTGTAAATTACATATATGAAATCAGTACAGTTACTCATGCTGAAAATAGGTAGGACAGGACGTTTTGCTGACTTCATGCATGAAGGCACAGTGTGGGCCCATGCGGCCCCGGGGGCCACACTGAGAGCCCCGTCCTGATTGCCTCTGGCCTCACCACCTGGCGAGCAGTGGGCTCTCGGTTGGTGCTTTTTGGTTGGTGCTTCCTGATGACTACAGGTAGGTGGTTGGGTTCAAGGTGAGAGCTACTGAGAAGCAAAACCTGGACATGGCACGGGTCAGTTCCCCACCAGCCCAGTCCAGTGCCCCTAGTGAGAGGCACAAGGCGGCTTCCTCCCTGAAGATGTCAGCATCAGGGCTTCAGAGCTGGGGGCTCTGGGGAGCTGTGGCTCGGTCCTGCCTGGTGCACAGGCTGCTGCTCCCATCCCTGTGTGGGCTGACGGCTGCGTGCTTCACGGTAGCAATTGTGTTCCTTGCCTTCAGCATAGCCCTCCCTTGGTGACCTTCATGTCCTTGGTCTCACATGGCCAGCCTTTCTCCCTGAGATGCACTCAGCTATCCTATCTCCTCGGGCATCCGAAGTTGGCAGGGTATCCTCAGAAACACTACACTGGGCCCTCTAAGTGTGTAAATTTACCCTTTCATTTCACGTGCCTAGGTAAAACCAAGGATTTGAAGGAATGTGTATCAGGAATCAGCCCACCCTCTCTCCCATTCTTAGAGAAGCACGGAACCTGAAGCATTGTGCCAGTCTC